GATATAATTTATAATACTTAAATTAAAATGGAATTTTTATTTTTAATTTCTCTTATTATGTTAAACCCTTTTTCTCTCCCAATTTTTTATGAAATATACTTTTTAATAAAATTTTATAAAGTTAAAAAAATAAATACTGCAAAGAGATTTCTTCTTCTCGAGTAGTTTCTCATAATTAGTAGTTTAAATATATATCAAGGGATCAATTTGTCCTTGTTAGTCAATTCTTTGACAATATAATCAAGATAAAATAAAATTATATAATTATTATAATAGAGTGACACGATATGTATTTTTATTCTTTTTATATAATAAACATTTCCTTTAACTAATTTATTTTTAAACTACAGGGAATTGGAATTCTAAATTATAGTATTAATAACATTCATTTTGCAAACAAATTTGTTAACAAGAATTGTTAAGCATCTAAAAAACCAAATGCAATAACTCATAAAATTATCTTCTCACTAGTAAAACCATTTCAATATTCAGATAATTCTTCTCATTTTTCAAACAAAATATCCCACAATTTACATATCATACTTTAATCCTTTAATTTTTTTTTTTTGAATAAAAGTTGATAAAAAATACATATATAACTTCTTTTACAATTGATTTACTCATAAATATTTTTAAAATTTTAGCAATACAGTATTTCAAGATAAAATAAAATATGTAACATGATTAGGAAAAATATAAATTAGTGCTTAGAATCAAATATCTATTTATATTGAGAAAAAGCAATCAAAGCACCTATATCTTACAGTCAATTTTTAAATAAAAAATCTTTCAAACAAAATATTTAGATATTGTTATAAAAAATTGGAAAAAACTTTAAACTTATTTACGGTGACGGTTGATTATTAACAAGGAAACAATGAGAACAATGTACATAAGGAGCATAGGGAAAATAATGAGTGTAAATACGTGGCATTTGACTCTTCATTTTCTTTAACTCTTTAATTTTTAAATATTTAGACATTAACTTTTCATTTTTTTAAAAATATTTAGACCCTTTTAGGCAAAATACCCAAATCCACCCTCAAAGTATAGTGGCAGAGACGGATCCACCCTCGAACAAAAAACGGAGACAAATCTACCCACAAAATTTTTGACTTGGACAAATCACCCCAAATTTAACGTGTGATGTCATTTGACATCAGCAATTCGTTAATTCGTTAATGGATTGCTGATGTCAGATGACGTCAAATTAACAGATTGCTGATGTCAAATGACGTCACACGTTAAATTTGGGATGATTTGTCCAAGTCAAAAACTTTGTGGGTGGATTTGTCCCCGTTTTTTGTTCGAGAGTGGATCCGTCTCTGCCACTATACTTTGAGGGTGGATTTGGGTATTCTGCCTATCTTTTATGTTAAGGTAATCTTACCAACGAAGGGTTGGAAAGTGGTTTGCGGTTTGTTTTAGCTTAAATAAAATCTCGAGTTCGAGACCTTGTGTACGCAGTAGTTTTTGTTGGGAGACTCAACCCATTATCGGGTGTGCCAATCGAATCGGTCCGAATTAGTCGAAACAAAGCCCCAGATACGGGACGGGTAACACAAAAAAAAAAGGTAATGTTACCTCTTTTGTTATCATTTACAATTTTTATATATTTTTATTATTTA